GCCTGGCTATTTTTTTAAGTTTTTGTAGAGGTGAGCTCTTGCTGTGTTGCCTAGACTGGTCCGAAACTCCTGGGCTCAAGTGATCCTCCTGCCTCAGCCTCCCAAAGTGCTGGGATTTCAGGTGTGAGACACCATGCCCAGCCTAACAATATGTTTATAACACAATAATTAGGCGGTAAAGAATAGGAATTGGATGCAAAGATGTCAGTATATGATAAGTAATGGGCAACATAGAGCTAAGATAATTTTGAAGAAAAAAAGTGTGGAGATTAGAAGAAGATGTGGGAGCTAGCCCTACTAGATATCAAAAGGTACGATGATACCATGGAAAACAACATAGAATATCACTGATGCAAATATAGAAAGAGATGCCACTGGAGAAGAATGGAGGGCCCAGAAGCAAACCCATGCATAGTAAAACCCAGTCTCCTTCGTCTCCATAGCGGTGTCCTAGGCCTCGGCAACAGCAGTTTTGCTGTCTCCCAGGGCTTGATTTACGTCTTTGGACATGACCTACTTACGTGTCGTCATCATCAGATCTTGGCTCTTGTTCCTCGTCTACTCCAAATCCAGAGGCTGTTCCCACCTGCCCCTCATCTTTCGTAAGAAACTGTCGTTTGAATGTTTCCACTGTTAAAGAAATGACACTGAGAGAGATGAAAGCATCCGGGCTATATACTCAAGGAGGCACATATGCCAAAAGTCCTATATTGAATATCAACCATAATGGCAAAATGTTTTAATCATTTTCAGTAAGTCAGAGAATAAGACGGGATCCAAAAAAGATTGATATGTCAGAAAAAAAGTAATTTGTAGGAGGAAGACCGGACGTGAGGAATTTTAGTTATAGCTTCTCCAATGATATAAGACTAAAGATGTCTAAAAGAGTTCTTAAAATAATTCATATCTATAGACTATAAATTTCACAGACTAAAAAACATCGTCTTTTTATTGAGAGAATTTCCTTTGTGATTGGTATATGAACTAAAAGCATATTTTATAACTTTATATGATGACAACTGATACCCAATTATTCAGCATTGCACTGAAGGAAAGTAGCAGGTAACACAACCTGCAAGAAAAAGAAGTGACAGGAATAAGAATCAGAGAGGAAGAGACAAACTATCTCTGCTTTGGGGTTAGATGCTTTGATTATATAGAAAAATTAAGAAAATCTTGTGTGTAAAACAAGATTCACCAAGATTGGACCACTCTTACTCTCCCACTGTTTCTATGACCCGAGTCACCAACTTACAGTCAGGCTTAATTGTTAATGCCTACAGAGAAAACCCAAAGCACACACAGACACACAACTTTTTTTTTTGCATTTATTCTTGTTATTTAAAATGTACTTTTTTCTCCTGGTAAAAGGATTGGACTGAAGATAGAACACTATTTTATTCTCTACCACAATGTAACATCCCTTCAACTACTCTAAGATTCTACCAATTATAAGCTGCAGACCAGCCAGGGCAACTTAGCAAGACCCATCTATCTCTATGTTAAAAATTGGCTGGGTGTGGTGGCACATGCCTGTAATTTCAGTTACTTGGGAAGCTGAAGCAGGAGGATTGCTTGAGTCCAAGAGATCTAGGCTGCAGTCAGCTACTATTATGCCACTTCATTCCAGCCTGGGACAAAGAGCAAGTTTTTGTCTCAAAAAAAATTTATAACATATGCTTTTATTTCATATACTAATCACAAAGAAAATGTTCCCAATAAAATGACACCATGTTTTGTTAGTCTTTGAAATTTATATCCTATAAATATAAATTATTATAATAACTCTTTTAGAAATTTCCTAGTATGCATTTTTAATCTTATGTCACTTGTATAGAAAGAAAAATATAAGTGCAATAAATTGGATAAGATATAACCAAAATTCCTCATATCTGGTCTTACTCCTACAAATTGCTTTTTTTTTTTTTTTTTAACATATCAACATTTTTTTGGTCCCTAATTCAACCCAAAAGATGATAATAAAGCAATTAATGAGACAACCAAGGAAACTTGAATTACTTTTGGAGTCATTGAAATCTGTTTAGTTTTTTGGTATCTATACTGTTTCGCTGACACTACAGACACTAAACGTATAGAGATTTTTTTTCCCACAACAACCAATTCTCTGACACCAAGTATCTTATAATTCAGTTCAACTCTGACACTGTAGTGTCATGATATAGACATGGGTTTTCATCTACGGTCCTAGCACATAACAAGGCCTTGTTACAGTATTTTATTATGATGTTGGGACACTTTGAGCTGCAGACACAGGTCTCAGGAAACAGAATCTGTCTCTGACCTTTTCCTGTCCTCCTTTTACCTGCCCAAGGCAGGACTTCAATCTGATTGTGGGTCAAATAATCCTCATTCCATAGAGTCTTGTCCCATATCCCAGGGAAGGAAGGCTGCAGAGAGAGGCCCCAAAAAGTGTGAACAGACTAGGCCTTGCTGGGTTAGATCATGTGTTTTTTGTTTGTTTTTGTTTTTATAAAATTTGTGCTGGGGTTTCAATCTGTCACCCAGGCTGTAGTGCATTGGCATGATCACAGTACACCACATCTTCAAACACCTTAACTCGAGTGATTGTTCCACCTCAGCCTCCAGAGTATCTATCTGTGGCTACAGGCGCACACCACCATGCCTGACTAATCTTTGTATCGTTTGTAGAGATGAGACCTTGCTATGTTGCCTAGGCTGGTATCGAACTCCTCAAGTGATCCTCCTGCTTTGGTCTCCCAAAGTGCTGGGACTACAGGTGTGAGCCACTGCACCCAGCCAGATCATCTGCTTTTTGTTCAATCACATTTCTACATGGTTGTCAATCATGCCTGTGTAATGAAGCCTCCATAAAAACCCAAAGAACAGGGTTTGGAGTGCTTTTAGATAGCTGAACATGTAGAGGTTCCTGGAGGGTGGTACACCCGGGGAGGGCATGGACACTCTGTACCTCTTTCCCTATGCCTCACTCTATGCATCTATTCAACTGTATCCTTTGTAATATCCTTGATAATAAACTGGTAACTATAAGTAAGTGTTTCCATGAGTTCTGTGAGCCACTCCAACAAATTAATTGAACTCAAAGAGGGGGTCATGGGACCCCCAATTTTAAACTAGTCAATCAGTTCTGGAGACCTGGAGTTGTGACTGGTGTCTGGAGGTGGGGTCAGTCTTATAGGACTGAGCCTTCACCCTGTGGGATCTGACACTATCTCCAGGTAGATAGTCTAGGAAATGAATTAGAGAACACCCAGCTGGTGTTCACTGATTGGTGTTTGGGGAAAACCCCCACATTTGGTCACAGAAATCTTATTCTGTGTTAATAATTGTTGTGGTGGTGCGAACGCAGAGAGAAAAATGCAGTTTGAGAGAGAGTCTTCCTGAAGCAGACACTACCTAAAATTAGCATCAAACTCCACAGGGTTAGGTCTCAGACACACAAGACTGTCCTCACTTTGAAGGCCAGTTACAAGTGGCAGGTTCCCAGGTTACCCACACTTTTCAGGTTAATAATATGCTAGAACAGCTCACAAAATTCTAGGAAACACTTTACTTACAATCACTTGTTTATTTTTTATTTTTTTTTTGAGTTGGAGTCTCACTCTGTCTCCCAGACTGGAGTGCAGTGGCTGCTCCCAGCCACCACAGCTCGACCTGCAGGGCTCCGGCGATCCTTTCGCCTCAATCTTCCAAGTAGCTGGAACTATAGGCACGCGCTACCACGCCCGGCTAGTTTTTGATTTATTGTAGAGATGAGGTCTCACCAAGTTGCCCAGGTGGGTCTCCAACCCGCGGGCTCAGGTAATCCACTCACCTCAGCCTCCCAAGGTGCGAGATTACAGACTGAGCCACGGAGCCTGGCTGTTTATTATAAATAATACAAATGAAAAGCTAGATGAAGAGGTCTATTGGACAAAGGTTTCCAAGCCTAGGAACTTCTGTCCCTGTGGAGCTGGGGTACATCACACTCCCAGCACCAACCCAGAAACTCTCCAAACCCTAACATTTAGGGGGTTTTATGGGAGTTTCATGACATAGGCATGATTGATGGGATCACTGATCATTGATGATTGAACTTGATCTCCAGCCCCTCTGGTCAATGTTTCATGTGCACTTGAATAGAAATTTTCTGCCACAGTTGGGTGTGACATTGTAAATATGTAAATCATGTCATGTTTATTAATTCTGTTGTTCAAGTCTTCTACATCCTTACTGATTTTATCTGTTCAATCAATGACTGACAGATGTAGATTACATTCTTTCACCATGTGGTGGATTTGCTTTATATATTATGACACTGTGTTGTTAGGTACTGATATCTTTCTGATGAATTGATACTTTTTTTTTTGAGTCAAGGTCTTATTCTGTTGCCCAGGCTGGGGTGAAGTGGCATAATCACAGCTCACCACAGACTCAACCTCATAGGCTCAGGCGATCCTTTTGCCTCAGCCTCCTAAGTAGCTGGGACTACAGGCATGCACCATCACTGGCGGCTAATTTTTTTTAAAAAATTTTGTAGAGACAAGGTCTCGCTATGCTGCCCAGGCTGATCTTGAACTCCTGACTGATAGGGTTTGTAGAGGGATGGGAGAGGTGGTTGTAGTTAAAACAATTCATCATATAAACCTCGCAAATGGAGCACAGAGTTGCAATGGCCCAAAAAGCTAACACTGTGCTCTAACAGCGTCCTGTTACTAATTGCTCTGCTGCCAATATCTGCTTTCCCCAGAGACCAGCATCCCAAAGTTGTGACTCCCAGACCCGACCCTCATTCTAAAGTTATGTGACTGATAACATCCTGGTACTGACTGTCAGTGTTTGCTTTCCTAAGGCTGCATTTCAGAGACAAGCGATTAAGAACATCCCTGATAGTGACCGGTTTAGTGTGGACATCTGCACTTCAAGGTTGTGGGAGACCAGCCTCAACAGTGCCAACATCTGCATTTGAAGGCCAGGGGACCAACACTCTAACTACCTAAACTACTTTTTGATTCCCAAGTCTAAACTCCCCAAACTGTTTCTTGGCACCCAATTAACCTGAACTCGGTATATAAATGACCTGCAAAAGAACAAAGGGCGCTGGCTTCTCTGTAGAGCTAGCCAACCCCTCCCTTCTTTTCTTTTCTTTAATAAACCTTTTTAACCACCAGCACTTGTCGCTTCCTTCTTGGCATACGTTACATTGACCTCAAGTGATCCTCCCACCTTGGACTCCCAAAGTACTAGAATTACAGGTGTGAGACACCACACCCAATGATTTCCCTCAAATTTTAAAAATAAAGGTTAGCTTCCCTTAAAATAAATGAAAGCAGAATCTTGCTAAAAGTTGGAGAGAGAAAAAAAAGCTACATTATGATGTATTTTTGTTATCCATAGACAGTAATTTAAGTCCATTGCATAGCTGTCAGAAATAAACTCAAACAATTATTATAATACTATAAGAAAGTGTATTGGCAGTAGTGGGAAACTGCCAGGGGAGGGTTGGGGAGGCACATCTCATCAACAAGGGTACTTGCATAATGAACATTTGTACACTTAACCCTGAATTGTCCTCTACATCTTTAAAATAAAAAGTTTTTGTTTTTTTTTTTAAAGAATAAACTGATTCATTTGGATACAGCTAAGCAATATTTGCTGGTCAGTTACAAAGTCACTAACTAGTCCTACTTACTTAATTTTTTATCAGTTGTCAGCTGTTACATTAAATAAAATTAGAACACTCTCTTTGGAAATTCATATCTTTTGTCAGAAGCATTTGGCAGAGGCTTGGACAAAGTAAATCAGCTTCTGAAAAGGATAGACACCCTCCCACTTCTCTTTCCAGGCTGAAGATATTTTTATCCCCTTTTTGCATTTGCAAATCTTCAACAAAACTCCTTCAAGGACTGGTTATGTTAAAAATAAACTACATACCGAATTCTCCCTCGTCGGCAGAAAATGAGCTACTCGTTAGATGTGTTGCTGCCAAGACACTCATTAAAGTTCCCGGAGCCTCATGCCGCCACTGTCTCCTGTTTTCTGGAATGCCTCCTATCACAATAACTTGGCCATCTGAAGAGGAAGCCATTATCGAAAATTAAAATGCTTCTTCATTTGAGTTTTTATAAGATAACAATGTTACAACCCTGAAGATAACCTAGTCTCAATTCTCAATTTTTTTTTTTTTTAGCTGTGGTCTCCTGTCACCCAGGCTGGAATGCAGTGGCACGATCATGGCTCACTGCAGCCTTGACCTCCTGGGCTCAGGCAATCCTTCTGCTTCAGCCTCCTGAGTAGCTGGGACAACAGGCACACACCACCATGCTTGGCTAATTTTTTCATTTTTGCAGGGATGAGGTCTCGCTATGTTGCCCAGGCTGATCTCAAATTCCTGGGCTCAAGCAATCCTCCTGCTTCAGCCTCCAAAAGTGCTGCGATTACAGGCAGGAGACACTGTACCTGGCCTCACTTCTCATTCTATTCATAAGGAAACTAAGGTATAGAAAACTTCAGTGACTTATTGTCACATAGTTGATAGGTAGAAGAGACATTTATTGCTTTGTAAACTGACTTTTTGAATGTGATAAAATTTCTGTTCTATTTGCCGATCTTAAGTTGTATTTCCTCAATTGTCTTATTGAATTATAAGTCAATTCACAAATATTCATAATGACTAATTTCAGACTTACATATTTCAACTTACAGCACAGGTATACATTTTAGCTCTCTCTCAGCCTCATGTTATCAAGAGGAACATAGGAAATAAGTAATAAAATATTTACCACCTGCAATGATAAATGCCCAGAGGTCGGAGGCTGCTATGAACCTCTTCTAAGGAGAGGCTGTGTCAAAACTTCAAATGTAAAAGAAGAAATTCAGGCTGAAAACATCATCAAAGCCTAAACACTCCTAACATTTAAATAGCACATTGGCTTACAAAGAAATATGTGTGTAGCCGGACTCAGTGGCTCAGCCTGTAATCCCGTGCCTTGGGAGGCTGAGGTGAGTGGATTGCCTGAGCCTTCGGGTTTGAGACCTGCCTGGGCAACTTGGCGAGATCTCATCTCTACAGTAAGAAAAAAGAAAGAAAGAAAGAAATGTGTGTGTATCTCTGCACTACCAACTCTCTAAATCTTGTAGGGATAGTTATTCTTTCTATTCGAATTTTATTGGGGGAAATAAACAACCTTCCAAGAAATTGCAAGGAAGTTGTTGAGCCAGCATTGGTAGGTAAATCAAGTCAACGCCCTTTCTTGTGCATTCTCCCTGATTTGGAGGAAGAGGGTAGCCTGGGTTTTTCCTCCTTTACGTTTGCATGGTTAGGGTGGTCATTTGTCAAGGATAATCAGCAGGCAAGTCTTTCTGGAGCTAGGGTAATAATCAAAGCTATGTCTTTGAAAGGTGTTTGATACAAAATCGACAAGGGTTGCATTAAGAAGTAAGCAGGACAGCTACATCAGGATGAGAGCACAGCGGTAAGGGGCCTTGGTCTTCCCTTGCCAATGCTAGCTGAGTGCAAACTCACCATCAGACACCGTGGAGCAGGTGGAGGTGACGTTGGCCACTGCCATCATCTGCAGCAGAGTCCGAGGTGTTCCTTCATCCCACTGCCTCCTGTTTCCTACAGCAGCGGCATCCTGAATGGAAAACCCTGCACGTGAGAAAATAACTCATTAATTCATAAGCAGTGACCAACGTTTAACTAATTGTACCAAACGGTCTTAGGAACTCAGAGGCCGTCTATCCGCCAGTATGTTTAGAACCAGAGAAATGACCAACCTCATTCTAATATAGATCATAACTTACTAGATTGAAATGATAAACAGGTGTAAAAACTGTTTCACATTTTCTTTTTTTTTTTTTGAGACACGGTCTCATTCTGTCACCCAGGCTAGGGTGTAGTGGTGTGATTCTGGCTCACTGCAGCCTCGACCTCTTAGATTCAACTGATCCTCCTGTCTCAGCCTCTGAGTAGCTGGGACTGCAGGCACATGCCACCACACCAGGCTAATTTTTAAAACATTTTTTTGTAGAGACGAGGTTTTGCTATGTTGCCCAGGTTGGTCTCAAATTCCTGGGCTCAAGAAATTCTCCTGCCTCGGCCTCCCAAAGTGCTGAGATTACACGTGATCCACCGCATCCTACCTGTGTTTTACTCTTATTACTATCATTTGATTGACTAGCCAATATAGCTAAACGCTCAGAAAATGTCAGTGACACAAATGGACGCATTTCTTGTGGTATCTATGAGAACTCTCACTCCAGTCTGTTTCCATAGAAATGTAGTCTGTTTCATTTTCTTAATTTAAAAAAAAACTTGTATTATATTTTTCTTTTACTACTATGTTTTCACTGTAGGAAATTTGAAAATCAGGTAAGTAGAAGAAAATTAAAATCACCCAACATCTCACTGTCCAAAGACTATTAAAATTTTATTCTTTTCCCCCGTAGGTAGTTTTTGCTTTGTTTTGAAACAAAAATTGGCCCACATACTGTATTCCCTAATATAACCTGTTTTTTCAATCAGCTACACATCATAACCAGGTTATTAAGAATCCTATACTATTATTTTAAAGCAAACATAGTATTCTGTTTCATAAACGTATAATAATGTAACTAATTCTTTTTTGTGAATGTTTAGGTTGCCAGCGATTTTTCACAGTTATAAATAATTCTGGGCCGGGCTCGGTGGCTCAACCTGTAATCCCAGCACTTTGGGAGGCTGAGGCGAATGGATTGCCTGAGCCCGCGGGGTTTGAGACCAGCCCGGGGAACTTGGCGAGACCTTGTCTCTACACTCATTAAAACACTAGTTGGACGTGGTAGCGCACGCCTGTAGTTCCAGCTACTTGGAACACTGAGGTGGAAGGCTCGCTGGACTCCAGCCTGGACCACGGAGTGAGACTCCAACTCAAAGCAAGCAAACAAACAAACAAAAAAATAATTCTACTGCATAATGACCCCATTTACACCTCATTCGCTTTCCCTGAGGCTACTGAAAGCTCCCACTGGGCCAAATCCCACTCACCTCACCTGGCCTTTCTCTTTCACTTGAAGTTGCCAGCTCCTATGCCTCCTTCCTGAACCTTCTTCCCTTGGCTTCATTCCTGATTCTCTGAATACTTTTTAAATAGTGCTAGGGTTCTGTCCCAAGCTCCATTTCCTTCTTATTCTTGTCCCTAGGTATTTTGGCCACCGGCAAAGTTTAGATACCATGGATATGCCAAGTTCTGCCATCTTTATCCCCGGTACACCCCAGACCTTCAGTCGTATATAGCTCACACCTTCTAGACACCTCCAGCAGACATTCCTAAAGATCTAAACCTCAGTAAGTTCTGGATTCGGATCACCACATTGTCCCTCCACATGCACCCCCTCCAACCATGTGACGTATGCTGGTTGGTGACAGCTTCATGCATCAGAATTAGAAAACTGGGAGTATCCATGAGCCCTTCCTCTTCCCCAAGCCCCACAGTCAGCATCTATTCTCCCTGCACGGCTCTGACTCAGGCACCTGCTGTTTCCACCTGGACCATTCTCCCCCTTCAGTCTTGCTCCTCCAAGCCATCATGCTCTTTTTCAGTCACAGATATAACGGCACGCCAAGCCTTTGAGGCGTGGGGACCTCCCTGCCTGTCAGTCAGTTCTCACTCCAACGATAATGAGCATCTCAGTCTCAGAAAAAACACGCTTAGACGTTAGCATGCTCAATGGCCATAGGATACCCTGCTCAGCCTTGGGACCCTGCAGAGAATCTCCACCAGCAACAAGACCCCGAGCGGATGTGACCCCTCGACCTTGGACTTCTCGACCTCCATAACTGGGCATGCTGACCTGCATAGTGAAAGCATCGTTCCCTTGTCCCACCTAATGCGTAGAGACGTCCTGGAAGGAATGAGTTCAGAATGAAAGGAGAGCAATCGTCTTGCAGCTTGGACTAGACTGCCTCCTCCCAGAAAAGTCAATGAATACTGGGGAACAAGCTGTAATTGGTGAGTCGGCACTACACATTTTTTTGCATCTCAGTGCCAACTTCCTATCTCTCCATGAAGTTAAACCAATTTCTAGCCCTTCCTGGCCTCTGGGAACAGGTTTTTGCATAGAACCAAGACTTCAAGGAACTTGGGTATCACAATCTTTTTAAGCGGAAATGTAAACGAAAGTTAACTTGTTAAAAGAAAGAGAGAGAGAGAGAAAAAGGAAGGAAGAAGCATGTTTTGTGTCTCCTTCCCTTTGCTAGTGACACACATCTGTGACACTGAGAGCAGGACCCAGGTTTCATTCATTGGAGTTCCATGCCACTAAGCACAGTCTGTGGGAGAAGGAGACTCTGCTGGAAGATGGCAACAAAGTCATATGCTTGGTCTAAGTTTCTTGACTGCACTTCTTCCTGCATGCAGTGTGGGTCTTGGTGGCCCGCTATTTTCACATATTCTGGATTTCACTACAATAGAATGACATTAACAGACCATGCAATCCAATTCTTGTTTTGTTTGGGTTGGCTGCTTACTTAAATTAGCATTTGCTGGTTTTAATCTGATGACTAAATCACTCTGATGCTCCTCCATTAGTTACTTTTTGCTTGTTTGCCATTAATATATCTTTCTGGGTTATCAGAAATACACTGTTGATATGAACAAATGTAAAAACTCTTTTGATTCTTTAATCTACTTTTTTTTAAAAAAAGATGCCTGCTGGATTGAATGAAGGGGTTTCCAGATGGAAACAGGCAAAGGGTATTCTAGGGCAGATGATATTCTTTTTTTATGAGTTGGGGGCCCACTCTGTTGCCCCGGCTTGAGTGCAGTGACACCATCACAGCTCACCACACCCTAGACCTCCTGGCCTCAGGAGATCCTCCTGCCTCAGTCTCCTGAGCAGCTGGGACTACAGGCATGCGCCACCATGCCCAACTAATTTTTTTTTGTAGAGACAAGGTTTTGTAGAACTTAGTCTGGTCTTGAACTCCTGGGCTCAAGCAGTCCTCTTGCCTTGGCCTCCCTAAATGCTAGGATTACAGGTGTGAACCACTGGGCTCAGTCGGCAAATGGTATTCTAGGAAGAAGAAACTGAGCCAAGCCAGGAGTGTCCATGCTCACACAGCTCTAAGAGAAGGTGGTGCTCCAGCCAGCTGTGTGGATTCCATCATCAGTGGAAAGACAGAGGGGTGCTGGGGTGGGAAAGGGAGGTTACCACAGGATCAGGTCATATAACATTAAATGTAATACCATAGACCTTATCCTGAAGGTATTGTTTTTAAAAATCTGAGCACAGTAATAATATAACAAGATTGCTTTAGCAACCATTTAGAGAATGATGGGGGAAAACCAGAGAAAAGGAGCTCACATAAGAGAGTAAGACAATACAGTGAGGAGAAGGCCAAGGGGAAGCTAAGGGAATAGCATTTATGAATCATCTGATACATGCCAGATACTTCAGATGTCAAATCTTGCTTCGGTTCTCATAGTAACCCTATGGGGGTTATTATTACTACTACTATCATCCCCTGTTCCCAAGAGGAAACTGACATTCAGAGTGCTAGAGTAACTTGTGAAAGAAAGACCAGAAAGTGGCAGTGCCAGCTGGGATTCACACTCCTGTCTGTCCCCAAAGCCCATGCATTTCCTACCACACCACACTGAGAGGTGACAGGACCCTCAACTAGTGACAGAGGACATGAGGAGGAAGACTCCAAAGACAACTGCACGTGATTGACCAAAATAAAGGGTTATTGGGAAGAAAGAGAGCAGGAGCTTGACTTTGGCTTTACACATGTTGAGTTTGAGATGCTGGTGGCACTTGTCTCTGGAGCTTTCCAGGGGATAATGAGAGCAGCTGGTGGGGGTTGAGTTCCAGGGAGAAGCTGAAGCTGCAAAAGGGAGCGCGTGTGGAGCGCAGGGAATGCAGACACCACACAGCCCAGCTCAGGGAGAGCAGAGAAGGGTCAGGGGACAATGGAGCCACCGCTAATGTGTGGGGACAGAGCCCCAGAAGCATTGCTAATAAAACAGTTCCTTCTCACCTACAGCTTTGAAGGGACACATACCTGCCTCTGGGCAGCAGAGTTTTTCAAATGCTTTGTCTGTATAATCTTCATGCTCCTTTGTACACTTATGTTCCTTAAACTTCACGCCATCCTCAAAGGTCAAAGTTTCATTTAGTATATCCCTTGCCTAAAGCAATTCCACAGTGTTCCGTGAGAAATATTTCGAAAAAAGAAGTTAAAAAATGTTTGTGTTCCGAGCAACACTAATTAGCAAGATATATGGTAAACATTCAATATATGTTTACTAGATTAAAAAATCTATAGAATTTTCAAACTGCAACTGTGTTGGAATAAGATAGAACCAGGGATGTTTTCATTTCTTCTTCTTGTTGACAGTGACAAGCACTGGCCATAAGACAACTTCATTTTATGCAGATTTTCTGCCTTTAATATTATTCTATTTTGGTTCCATTTGACACAACTCTCAGCCGTGTCCAGCTTTAAGTATACAACATTCTTAACCAGGTCCCTAAAATTGATATTCCCTGATCAATACCAAAACGATTACTTCTGTTTCAAGCATATCAAAGTGGAGAATAAGAAAGACTGGACACCCTGGCAGTTAAAACTTTTTGAACTCTCTTCTTTCATTCCAGCAGGGCACCAGAAAGCTCTGTGTTGTCCCCTTCCTCAGGTGACAACCCAGAAATGAATCCCCAGTGTACTCTGTTCCAATCTCACAGCTCTGGGGCACTCTGAGATCTTAAGGTTAAATAGAGATGAGTGCTAACTATCACCACTCTAGTGAAGTCTTTATGCAGTAAAATGCTTGTTTACACTAATAAGGAACACAAACAGATTGAGTATCATACTTGATTGATGAACAAATTAAGTTTTCATACTTAACGTTTAGTAACTTAAAAGGTGAATTCAGAGAAGGTAAAATGGAAAAAACAAACTGGTAATTTTGACATTTATTAGCAGGATAGGCCAGATGTGGTGGCTTATGCCTATAATCCCAGCACTTTAGGAGGCCAAGGCGACAGGTCTGCCTGAACCCAGGAGTTGGAGACCAGCCTGGGTAACATGGTGAGATGTCATCACTACCATAAATCAAAAAATTTAGCTGGCTATGGTGGGGCATGCCTGTAGTTCCACCTACTTGAAGGGTTGAGGCGGAAGGATCGAGGCTGTGGTAGCCATGATTGTGCCACTGCACTCCAGCCTGGACAACAGAGTGAGACTCTGACTCAAGGAAAAAAAAAAAAAAAAGCAGGATTTAAAAAAAGATGTTAAAGTCAAGTAATAAAATGAGATTTAGATTTACAGTACTGGTATACTTATTGCTGTGGCAAGGAGAGCCCAAATGCATAAATGAGATTTACTCAAAGACCCACACAAAGTTATCAATAACTATTGAAGACCTGAAGTAAATATGCCTGGTTTCAGGGTACCTGCTCATTTTTTTTAGGTCAGTATATTAGTTGTAGACTATGTACCAGGTCTTCTTCTTTTTATTTTTTGTAGATATGGGGTCTTGCTCTGCCACTAGGCCAGAATGCACTGACACAATCATAGCTCACTGCAGTCTTGAACTCTCGGGTTCAAGCAATCCTCTCATCTCAAGCTCCCAAATAGTTAGGCTACAGGTATGCCCCACCACACCTGGATAATTTTTGTTTTAAATAGGTATTTTTTGTGTAGAGAGAGAGTCTCACTATGGTTGTTCAGGCTGGTCTTGAACTCATGGCCTTAAGAGATCCTCCTGCCTTGGTCTCCCAAAGTGCTGGGATTATAGGCATGAGCCGCTGTGCCTGGTCCATGTCTTCTATTTTAGTTTGACTATGATAAAAAGTTAATATTATGAGGAAAGTAGCTCCTTTACAAAAGAAAAATAATTTAAAATACAATAATCCATCTTAAAAAAAAAACAACCCTTTTTTAAAGGAGATTAAAAAGTATCTGGAACATTCATTTGAATACCAGAGCCCTTCTAGGACTATTTAAGAAAATTCTCCCCACAGTCTATAGAACAATGTCATGAAACAAGCTATGAAGATATACTCATTTTTTCATACCTGCTAATGAAAATGTAGACCTAATGACATACCTCTTCCTCTTGGAGCATGTTTTCATCAGAAATATATTTGTCTAAATTAATTTCAAACTTTACTCCTCTCTAGAGAAGGCAAGAAAAAAAAAATCTTAGTTTAGCAATTCAGTAAGCCTTAAAATTACAACTCTCCAGGTCAATTTTGTATGACATTACAGATACTTAAATTCACTTGTCTAACATCACAAAATAGGGCAATTCCATAAAATACTAGCGGGGAAAATCATGTAAGCAACACAGAATGCAAGGTATGAACTCCTCCACTAGTTTTCATTTGTTTTGTTTTATTTATTTATTTATTTGAGTCAGAGTCTCACTGTCACCCAGGCTGGAGTTCAGTGGCACATTCATGGCCATCGCAGCCTCGACCTGCTGGGCTTAGGTGATTCTTCCACCTCAGCCTTCCAAGCAGCTGGGACTACAGACGTGTGCCACCTTGCTCGGCTAATTTTTTGGTAGAAACGAGGTCTCCTATGTTGCCCAGGTTGGTCTCCAAACCCCTAGCCTCAAGCAATCCTTTTGCTTCTGCCTTCCAAAGTGCTGGGATTACAGGTATGAGCCACCACTCAGGCTTGTTTTGTTTTTTAAAAGACAAGGTCTTGCTCTGTCATCCAGACTGGAAAGCACTGACATGATCATAGCTCAATGCAGCCTCAAACTCCTGGGTTCAAGTGATCCTCCTACCTCAGTCTCCTAAGTAACTAGGACTACAGGTGAGGTTACCATGTCTGGCCAATTAAAAAACAGTTTTTTTTGGTAGAAACTGGAGTCTCATTATGTTGCCCAGGCTGGTCTTGAGCTCCTGGCCTCAAGTAATCTTCCCACCTTGGCCACCCAAAGTACTGGGATTATAGCCATGAGCCACCACGCCCAGCCTTCTAGCCACCTTTTCAATATGGAACCCAAAGACAAAAGTGTTTATTACCTTAGCTTTATATTTCTGTCCTGGAATTTTATTCTCCTTTATGTTCTGAAGACTAATTTGCTCCAAGTCTCTTTCAATGTCCTGAAAGTTTAGAGAAGAATATAATTATATAATTTAATGTTGATCAATTATTTTTTCATAACCTCTGAATTCACAACAGTGTATGTTTACATTATTTGATTTCTGGATTAAATATGATGATTGTCAGGATAGAAACATGCCTTTGTAAAGGAAAGTTAATAATTTACTAAAAACTTGGACAGAGTCCCCATTAACCAACAATATTAATACATTTAACATGGCACTTCGATGAATATAATTCTGTAATATGACAATGCTCCAGTCCAGTCCAATCCAAGAATGTAATTTTGCCTTGCAGGATCTTTCCTTCAACAGACTTATAATCTCAATCAGGAGAATAAGAAAAGTGTACACTCACAAATGTATAAAGGCAGGGCTCTAAAAATTGACTGGCATTTTCCAGAAGGAAGAGAAGAAAACAGTAAAAGTGGATGACAAAATTTCTTTTTCTTTCTTTTCCTCTCTCTCTCTCTTGCTCTCTTCCCCTTTCTTTCTTTGCTTTTTTTTTTTTTTGACAGTGTCTCATTCTGTTATTCAGGCTGCAATGCAGTGGCATGATCATAGCTCACTGTAGCCTCAAACTCCTGGGCTCAAGCAATTGTCCTGCTTCAGCCTCCCAAGTAACTAGGACTACAGGCGTGTGCCACCCCTGGTTAATTTATTTTTTTACTACTAGTAGAGAGAGGGTCTATGTTGCCCAGACTGGTTTTAAACTCCAGGCTGTCTCCCAAAGTGCTGGGATTACAGGCATGAGCCACCACGCCCAACATGGATGACAAGAAATTTCAAAGGAACAATTGAGAGGTGAACTCCACATGCTGAGGTTTCTTTTTTTCTTTTTTTGAGTTGGAGTCTCATTCTGTTGCCCAGACTGGAGTGCCGTGGCCGCTCCCGGCCACCACAACCTCAACCTGCTGGCCTCTGGCGATCCTTCCGCCTCAGCCTCCAAGTAGCCAGAATTACAGGCATGCGCTACCACGCCCGGCTGATTTTTTGATTTACTGTAGAGATGAGGTCTCGCTGCCAGGCGGGTCTCGAACCCACGGGCTCAGGCAATCCACTCACCTCAGCCTCCCAAAGGCGCGGGATTACAGGCTGAGCCACCGAGCCCGGGCTGAGGTTTCTTAGGGTCCCATCCTGGGCCCTCCGCTCCACTCTTCCCCAGCACAAGGGGGCCTCACTCACTCCTGTGGATTTAAATGCCACCTTTATGCAATGATTCCTGTGTGTGTACCTTCAGGCTTCCCCGTTCCTCTCCTCTGAGCCCCAGACTCATACCCAACGGCCCACTCAGCATTGTCTTCACTTTAACATTCATTCCTCATATTCACACTGACGCTCCCTGTGGGCCAGACCCCTACCCAGTGGGTCAGCACAGTGGACATGACTAAACAGGCCCCTGCTAACCTGAAGCTTACATTACATGTTACTGGAGCAAGAGAGTCACAACAGAGTTAATAGGTGGATGGCATGATTTCAGAAAGTGTTCGATACTATAAAGGAAATGAAGTAGGGCAACGGGATGGAAAATGAGTAGGAGGTGAGAGTAATACAGGCAAAGCTTACCTGACATCTGCTTCATGCCCTGGAATGATACTGGACCTTGGCATGTGAAGGTCTAAGGAAAGCATCTTCCATAGAGAGGGAACAGCATGGCAAAGGCCAGACAGCAGGCATGCAATCTCACAGAACTTCTCTAATGTAACATCCACAATGGAACTTTTTTATTTTTTTTGACTCAGGGTCTCATTCTGTTGCTCAGGCTGGAGTGCAATCACAGTTTACTGCAGCCTCAAATTCCTGGGCTCAGGCGAGCCTTCCTCCTCAGCCCCCTGAGTAGCTGGGACTCCAGGCATGCACCACCACACCTGGCTAATTTTTTTATGTTTTTACTTTTGTAGAAACAAGTTCTTGCTATGTTGTCCAGGATGGTCTTGAACTTCTGGGCTCAAGCAATCCTCCTGCCTCAGCCTCCCAAAGTGCTGGGATTACAGGTGAGAACCACCACACTGACCAAAATGAAACTCTCAATGTCCCTACTTGCCACTCCCCAGCAGGGGGTACTGTAGACTACTGCTTTCCGTCAAGACAGGGTATAGGGATCAGATTTACTTCCCCACCAGAAACAACCAAAGAGCAAGATCAAATACAGAAGCAGTGGTTTACATGCATTAGACATCCAGCAATGAAAGACAGGGATCTCTGAGAAATAGATGACAAATGAGACGAGCACTTTGCCCCAGCCTGTCTTGAGAGCCTTTGCAGGCTGTGGTGCTGAATAGGAAGCCCAAGCTGAGTCTGGCAGATTCCCTGAGTTGATAAGAAAGTGGAGAACCTGTAGATATCAAGGTGCTAGAAGAGAGAGCCACACAAAGAAAGAACTGGCACTGTCATGCAATGCTGGGGGAGTGTAACACAGCACAACCACTTTAAAAAACCCTTTGGCGCCGGGCTCGGTGGCTCAGCCTGTAATCCCGCGCCTTTGGGAGGCTGAGGTGAGTGGATTGCCTGAGCCCGTGGGTTCGTGACCCGCCTGGGCAGGCGAGACCTCATCTCTACAATAAATCAAAAAATCAGCCGGGCGTGGTAGCTCAAGCCTGTAATTCCGGCTACTCGGAAGGCTGAGGCGGAAGGATCGCCGGAGCCCAGCAGGTCGAGGCTGCGGTGGCCGGGAGCGGCCACTGCACTCCAGTCTGGGCGACAGAGTGAGACTCCAACTCAAGAAAAACAAAAACAAAAACAAACAAACAAACAAAAACCCTTTGGCGGTTCTTAAAAAGTTAAATATACACTATACACCAACTTTAGGATCCAGTCATTCCAGGCCATTCCATTTGCCTAAAAAGAAAGAAAAGCCTATGACTATGCAAAGATTTGTACAGGAATGTTCACAGCAGCTTTATCTGCAATAGTCAAAAGCTGGAAACAACCCAAATATCCATCTTTTTGTGAATGGATAAACAGATTTAGACATATTCATACAATGGGATAGCCTCAAGAATAAAAAAGAATGATGAGCCATGAATATGTGTGACATGGATGAATCTCTGCATTATTATGCTGAAGGAAAAGTAGCTAGACAAAAGAGAGCACATACACTGACTCCATTTATGTAATGCAAATGAATCTAGAACAAGCCAATGAACCTACAGCGACAGAAAGCAGATCTGTGGTTGCTTGGGTGGGAGGAGAGGCAGAGAGGAAGATGAGAAGAAATTTACAAAAGGGCACCAGCAGACGTTGGGGGCGGGTAAGGGATAGGCTCACTGTGTTGACTGTGGTGATGGTTTTATAAGTACACATATAAAATCTATTAAAGTATACACTTTAAATATGTGTAGTTTATCATAGTCAATGAGGCCTCCATAGACTGTTTTTAAAAAGGGGCGGGGGGGAGGGGGCCAGGCGCCGTGGCTCATGTTTATAATTCCAGCACTTTGGGAGGTGGGAAAATTGCTTGAGCTCAGGCATCCAAGACCAGCATAGGTAAAATAGTGAGATCTCATCTCTACCAAAAAATAAAAATAAAAAAATTAGCCAGGCATAGTAGTAGGCACCTGTGATCTCAGCTACTCAAGAGGCCAAGGTGGAAGGCTCGCCTGAGCCCAGGAAGTCAAGGCTGTGGTGAGCTATGAACGTGCCACTGCACTCCAGCCTGGGCAACAGAGTGAGACCCTGACTCAATCAATCAATCTGGAAGAGAGAGTCAAGTCTTGTTCTGTGGCAGCACACTGCTGTGAGTGATGGGTGAGAGACTGGACACAGCCTTGAGTTCCCACCTCAGCAAAGCTCCTAGGCCTTAAGGCCGCATGGTCATCAGTCTTCACGTTGCCACCGGGGTTTTCACATGAAAGGATGGCAGAGAGCCCTACAGCAGCCTGAGGCTGAATTTCCCACCTATAGGGGAGGCTGGGGGTTGGAGTCTGAGATCATTGCATTTTGAGAAAAATAAAGTAATTTGACACTTGTGCAGTCGAGATAACCAGACTACCCAAACAAGCTAGACAGCCAGCTTACAAAATATAAATTGGCTTTATAAGTCATATTCTTGTACTCAGATCGCATAATGTTGCAAGACAGGAAAGCAGGGCAAACAACTAATGATACTTCAAACTGACACGCGCTATGTCTGAAGTATATAGAAATGCTGTGGAGATACAGATGAGGCAGCCATTAATTTTGAGAGAGAGAGAGAAAATAAAAAAGCTGTGCTAGAAACTTCACCAGGAGGTCTGATCTGATGGGTTTTGAAAGAAAAGAAAAGAAGGAAAGAATATTCCCATCGAGGAATGAGCATTTTTCAATGATCTGGAGGAGGAAAGGAAGGTGCCACTTTTAACAACTAGGATTTTAAAAAATAATTTGAGAGGGCTAGGCCTTTGAGTGTTTGGGGAAACTGAGTATTGAGGCAGGAACATTCCATTGGGAACAACTCACAAATGTCTAGCATCCCATGCTGAGGAAAAAAAGAAATTGTCATAGATTGTCAAGCAGAGTAATGTGTTCAAATCAATATTTTGGAAAGATAATTCTACAAGTAGAATCAGAGACTTTAAAAAAGCTATTTTGGCTGGGCACAGTGGCTCAGTCCTGTAATCACAGCACTTTGGGAGGCCAAGGCAGGAGGATCACTCGAGGCCTGGGTAACATAGCAAGACTCCGTCTATACAAAAAAACTTTAAAATTAGTCAGGTGTGGTGGCATGTTCCTGTAGTCCCAGCTACTCTGGAGGCTAAGGCTGGGGGATTGTTTGAACTCAGGTGTTTGAGGCTTTAGTGAGCTATTATGGCACCACTGTACTCCAGCCTGGGTGACATAGAGTAAGACCTTGTTTCTAAAAAAACAGCAGGAAAAAAAAAAACACACCTCAAATAAGACAAAACCTAAATTCACAAAATAGAAAAATTAGGGGATAATTACTTCCTTCACAAAAGTTTGCAAAGGAATCTGCTGCTTTATTTCTTGGGAGGGTAGGTATCAATAAACATCAGATGCTTCTTTTTTTTCTTTTCTTTTTTAGAGATGGGTTTTTGCCATATTGTGCTGGCTGGTCTCGAACTTCTGGGTTCAAGTAATCCTCTCACCTCAGCTTCAGCCTTCCAAATAGGTGGGACTACAGGCACGGTGTTCACACAAATCTAGATATCACTACATACCACTGTTGGCATTATGGTATGTTTCTTTCAAAGTTACTCCTTTTGCATAAAACAAAATTTTACTCACCTAATTTCTGATATAAACTTTTTTAGAGAAGTCATCATCATTTATTTGCATTATTTATTTCCAATGCTTTATTTTTAGACACGTTTTCTTAAAAATTTTTTTTAACAGATTCCTTTGTGTTACTATAAACAGGTTAAAACATGAGAGGAAAAAAGTCTAAATTTGTGCTGTCTTTTCATAGATTTTGGCTATGATCCTACTGGCACCTTTGAATGACAAGTTTACAATATCTTGAGGATTTCTCATTTTTAGTTGACTCTGGACTAGACTCTAATAATAAATATAATTTAAAATATGAGGAATTCCTGTAATTATAAAGATGAGTGCATCAATAATAATTCTCTATACAGACCAAATCATTGAGAATCTTCTTATTAAGCAAAAATAAAAAGCACACTAGGGTTTCTTCTTTACAAAATCAATACAACCCCCTGGAAAGTAAAACATGCAATTCCAAGAGCATTGCTTTTGAAGTCATTTCACAGATTGAATCATTCTCAGATTTAGTTGAAATTAACAGATTCATATGCATTAGAATTGTATAATCTTTTCTCAGAAGGGAAAACATTATCTTAAGATTCACTTGATATTCTGTCTGGGTTCCCACTTCCACCAAAAATGTAACATTGAAATGGAAGAGAAGTTGGCTGTCAGATTTCCTGAGCAATGTGTCTAAGACACTGACTCAGACCATCCAAAGCATAGACCGTTCCACGCTAAAGAGCAGTAGTTTTTACATGGCTGCACACTAAATCACCCAGTGAACTTCTACAAGCAAGATGGGAACACCCCAGACCACCTGGGACGGAGCCCAGGCAATTGAGTTTTTTTGAAGTTCTCCAGGATTCTGTTGCTCACTCAGTGAGGGTTAAGATCCACTCAATACCACATAACTCCAGTAAGAATGGCCATCATGAATAAAACAAAAAGCAACAGATGCTGGCGAGGATGTGGAGACAAGGGAGTGCTTCTACACTGTTGGTGGGAGTACAAACTAATTCAACCTCTATGGAAAACAGTGTGGCGATTTCTAAAAGAACTAGAAATTGACGTTCCATATGACCTAACAATCCTGCTTCTGAGAATATACCTGGAGGAACTCAAATCATTCTACAAAAAATATACCTGTGCACATATGTTTATCGCAGCACTATTCACAATAGCAAAAACATGGAACCAACCGTGCTGCCCATTGAAAATGGATTTAAAAATGTGGTATATATACACAACGGAATATTACGCAGCCATAAAGAAGGACAAAATTAAGGACTTTGCAGCAACTTGGATGGATTTGGAGGCTATTATCCTTAGTGATCTATCACAGAAACAAAGTACCACATATTCTCACTCATAAGTGAACCCTGGATACCTATCGCAATACTACAGGAAAGGGATTGGCAGTAGCAGGACACCACCAGGGGTGGGGAGTGGGGCACATACATCAATAAGGGTACCTGATCTTAAAGTGAGGTCCAATGGGAGGCCCAAACTTCACCTGTACCTAAACCACTTATGTGTGCATCTTGACTTGTACCCCACAACTTTAAAATTAAATAACATTTAAAAAAACCACCCAGTTACAGCAAACTCACCGGGAAGCACATACATGTCTAACATTAGCCATCCCTACCTGCACAGGTGCTTCTTCCTCAGGTACATCTTGGTGGATGGGCAGGTTACTCTTCTTCACCAAATAGGTTTTATGACTTATTTTTGAGCTCTCCTGCAACACAAGTATACACAGTCAACAAGATAGGTTCTGCAGGAGCTCTGAAGGCTACTTGGTGATGCACAATCCATGGAGTGGCTGTATAGAGACTCCCCCTTTTTTTGAGTTGGAGTCTCACTCTGTCACCCAGGCCAAAGTGTCATAGCACCATCACAGCTCACCACAGCCTCAACTTCCAGGGCTCAGGTGATCTTCCTGCCTTAGTCTGCCAAGAAGCTGGGGCTATAGGTGCACGTGATAATGCCCAGCCCATTTTATCTTTTATTTTTGTAGAGACAAAGTCTTGACATATTGCCCAGGCTGATCTTGAACTCCTGGCCTCAAACAATCCTCCTACTTTGGTCTCCCAAAGTGCTGGGATTATAGGCACAAGCTACAACCCCCAGCCATGATAAAGCCCCCTTTATGGTCCCTTTTCCCTGTGGCAGCCTCGGTGTATCCCTAATGCTTCTTTCATAGTCTCTGTAGATGTCTGCTATCCATCTTTCCTGGGCTTCCCATCCCAGACCTGCCTTAGATATAATGCTGATGATGGCACCAGGCTGCCCACCATGAACCAAGTCTCTGTCCTAGAGAGAACCACCTCCAAGCTGTGCCTCCCAGCATAGGCAGTCCAAGGGGGACCCTTTGCACAGCCCTTTTAGAATGCCCTCCCCCTTAGTCTGCCTCTCTCAATTCCACTCTTCTCAGACCCAGCTTAGTCCTCTCTCATTTCTTCCATAAAAACCCACATCCTGCTCATCTGTGCTCCTATGAACTGCAGGACTCAACTATATATTCTGTCTTACTCTGTGATTGCATCTTATCTTTTTAACTATTTATAAGTAGAACTGCATATACCAGAAAGAGTAGGGGATTTAGTATTAGAGAGAGAGAGAGAGAGAGAGAGAGTGTGTGTGTGTGTGTGTGTGTGTGTGTGTCTCGCTCTGTCACTCAGGCTGGAATGCAGCGGCACAGTCACTGCTCACTACAGCCTTGACCTCCTGGGTTCAGACAATCCTTCCACCTGAGCCTTCCGAGTAGCTGGGACTACGGGTGCACACCACCATGCCCAGCTAACTTTGTTTTTTGATAGAGTGAGGCTGTTGCTATGCTGCCCAGACTTGAACTTGAACTCCCAGCCTCAAGTGACCTTCCTGCCTCAGCCTCCCAAAGTGCTGGAATTACAAGCATGAGCTACTGTGCCCAGCCTAGAGTCAGATATTTACATATTTAGTTTGCCTAGTAAGAGCTAAGTGATTTTGGATTACTTACTTCTCTGTTATGGGTAAATGAGAGAAAGTACATAAGCAAAATCTCCAGGTCACAGCGGCACATACCATTCAATTAGACCATACACTCATCTGACTTATATTAATTCATCTGAACGCACTGGGAGTGGAGTAGAGGAGAAACCAATTTCAGCGTATTGCCAAGTGTGTGTGAGATGGGAGACAGCCATCTCAGTGCCCACAGTCCCCTCCTAGCAGGGCATTCCAGGGCACTGAGGCTGTTCCTGGTGTTTTGATAGCTGTGTGTCTTTCCTACAGCATGGTGTCCAAGCACAGGCTAGCTATTTCCTCTGGAGCTCTTCTGAAGAAGTTGCGACCTGCTCCAACTCTAGAGGGTTTCCTGAGGAATGGAAGGACGAATTGCAGGGATTGTCAAGAATCATATCAACTGCACCATAGGCTTTTAAACCTTACATCAGAAGATAGTTGAATGCTTTTTTTCTATCCTGGGCATGAACTTCTACTCATTTTTTTTTTTTTTTTTTGAGTTGGAGTCTCTCTCTGTCACCCAGACTGGAGTGCAGTGGCCACTCCCGGCCACCGCAGCCTCGACCTGCTGGGCTCCGGCGATCCTTCTGCTGC